TAAAACTTTTAACTTTTATTTATTTATTTAAAAACGTTTAACTTTTAACAGCCGTTGTTACCCTTATCTGAAGATGCTAGTGTGGGCCCCATCGTTGCTGATGAGCAAACATAACATTAGCACCCATTATTTTTATGAAGGCCACACAATTGGCTGATCAGTAGAACTGCCAGGTACCGGTTGCATGGCTCTAGGCCAAGACCCTTAATTTCTCTGCATCCCTGTCCCCATAGAAAACGAGCGGATCTCCATGGGCCTAGATTGGAATGCACCAGCAGAGCTTACTGAGTCGGGCAGAGCTCTTCCCCCATGGTTGGCAAGGAACTTTATATGGAATCTCCCCTAAAGCTTCGCTTAGTCTTTATTTTGGTCCAATTATACTCCACATGATGACCATTAAAGGCACATTGTAGAGTTAGACACATAGTTATTACTTTTAGTTTATGTTTTTTAAAAAAATCATTTTATTGGGGGCTCATACAACTCTTATCACAATCCATCCAAGTATAGTTATTAAATAGATTATTAAATAAATACTGAAGTGCTCCCTAACAGTTTCTGAAGCCCTCTGGCCTTCTCTGAATCTGTGATGTCAGGATATTGCTTGGGATACCCTCTGGGCATTACCATGATTTCTGAAAAGGAGGAGAGAAGAACAGGAGAGAGCACTGGACAGGGACTCAAGTAGCCCACGTCTGTTGGCTTAGCTCTGCCCTGACTGTATGAGTTTAGATAATCTTGTTCACCCCCACTGACCACCACAGGGCCTCTACCCATGAGGGCCTTGAACTGAGCAATTCAAAGATCTCAAATCCCCTGCACTGTTGCACTGACATTTAAAAAATCTCCCGGAAAATTGCCAGCTTCTAACTGAAGTTTGTATCACTCACAAGCACAGTGCCCAAACTTCAGCTGCTCATTCAACGTTGAACACCCAGAGAGACCTTTGCAAATGGAGGTTCTGCAGCCTACCCATAATTATAGTGCCACTATTTCCAACACAGGGTCACAACCATTGCCTTATTTCTGCTCAAAGACACTTGAAAGGTGGGCAGGCCTGACACAGATAAAAACCAGAAAACAGATCAGAGATGTTAAAGACTTGCTTAAAGTCAGAACCAGACAGACACCGGTTTTGGTGGAAGGTTGTCATTGGTTCTTGGATGGGAGTTCTCCCTTGTGTGTATTACTGCTTCTGCTCCGTGGGAGTTGAAGTACTTCCACTGGAAACTAGCTATGTTCAGGGTGTGTGTGTTTAATGCTTTCACCCAGAAATTCTATTTTTTTTTCATTGTGGTCTTTTTCAATGCACTAATGAAGTCTGGTTTGCTCAAATCACAGATGGACGCCTGCTGTTTGGCCAAGTGCCGTTGGTTGAGATGGACGGGATGGAGTTGACACAGACCCGAGCCATCCTCAGCTACCTGGCTGCCAAATACAACTTGTATGGGAAGGATCTGAAGGAGAGAGTCAGGTACTCTGTCCCTGACTCCTGTACCTGATGCCCGCTGGGCTTCTCCAGTGCTGGACCCACTGAGACCTGGTTCAGACACAGCCCTATGGCCTGTGCTGAGGGGAGCAAAGAACGGTTGCTTCTGCTAGTCCTCCCCTTCCCTGGGCCGAACTCTGGATGAATGTTCCAAGCCTTATTTCTTTGTGTGCTACACATAACAATCTGCACGCAGCTTTCTTAGAGTCTCTCCTGACTCCTCACCAAGTTTGACCTCAGAAAATGACTTGGTAAACTCTTTTTACCCATCGGTGTAAGTTACAGACTCAGCACACATATTTTGAGCATAGTTTCAATGACTTATTACTACGAATCGTGTGTTTCGAGGTAGAGAACCAATCACCTCAAATATAGTGACGTAGTCAGTAAGCATATTGCTCACCTCTTTGTGAGTCTGTTGACTCAGACTCCAACAGGACTTATTCTGCAATTCCCCCCATGAGGTCAGCTTAGGAATAGATTCCATCTGTTGATGGAAGAAGCTTCCAAGTCTCAATGCAAATACAAGAGAGGTGAAGAAGGTTTGAGGCTGTATTTTTGTTTTGGTAGCAGAATATAACTTAGAAGCATTCATTCCTTCTTTCATATATCTGTTGATTCAACAAACATGTCTAGAATGGCTACTAAGTCCCAGTCTGTAGACCAGTGTTTTGCAAAGAGGGTACTACCCACTTAGTTGCTGTAACAATGCAGTGGGACTGCAACAGTAGATGCCTACACTGTATCCTGGACCACGGGCTACAGCACACAAGGTGTTCATTACTGGGGGAAGGGACTGAGTAACATGCTCTGCACATAAGCTTTACTTCTGAGAGTGGAAACTCAAGAGAGAGGATGGAAAATCAGTTGCCCCAACCAGAGGCATACCTGCGAAAATACTGCCATGGCCAGCACTGACACTGCACCCCTATCCAAATATATGACATTCACCTTACAGATAACTTTACCAATAATATCACCTAGCAGATACCAGTCAGGCTCGTTAATCTTTTATGTAACACATGCGGCAGCACATGAACATTACAACTATACCTTCCTCCCTTTCACAGATGAAAATCAGTCTCTGATGTGCTCAAGGTTATACCCCCCACCACTAACTACCATTACTCCTGCGTCCCCTCCTGCCCAGTTCCTTCTCTTTCTACACTCAGCAGAGCAAGACCACCATCTGCCTGGACAGCAGTAGTTTTATAAGCTGCTCAGTGGTGCCCCCTTGAGGCAGTGCTCTGAGCACCTGGCATCTTTGAGTTTTGCTCAGGCCCTAACTGGGCTTTCTATCATAGAAAGGTTGGCTTAGGAAAGCCTTTTCCTCTGTGTTTCCTCTCCACGTGAGAGTGCAGTGGTGTTTTGTCAGGATTGATATGTACGTCGACGGCACCCTGGACCTGATGATGATGATTGCACTGCTTCACTTCAAAAACCCAGAGGAACAAGAGGAGAATATTGCTTTAATCATGAAGAAAGCGAAGACCCGTTACTTGCCTGTCTTTGAAAAGGTAAGCTGCTGGCATTCGAGATTTTAACACCTCTTGTAACTGATAAGAATATTTAAAGAATGCATCTTTGGAGTGATCGAGACCAGGCTCCTTTTGAACCCAAACTTTAATACAGATTAGAAAATCAAAAATCGATAAAATCATAGTGCCTTCAACAAAACGGAATTAGGATCAACCAATTGCAATGCGAGAATGTGGCATTTCTGTTCTGAGTTTCTAAGCAATAGCCCGAGACACCGCCGCCTTCAGGACAATCACTGGGTCAGATCTTTGCTTTTGGCCTCCTATTGGCGGCAAATCAAGGCTCAGCCTGAAGACAGTCTCACAGAGGGTTGATTTCAGTGAAGTTGTTTTGGAGTGAGTGTCATTACAAATTTGATACGCTTCCAAATCTAGAGGACAGCATGGCACGTGGTGAGGAAGGGTTGTTAGCACGGGCCCTGGAAGGATCTGCTAGACAAAAGAAGCCTCCGGCACTCACCTTCAGAATTAGCCTTGGGAAAGAACGATGTCTTAGGGAGTGTCTGCGAGTAGGCAAACAAGATCCTGTTTATCCAGGGACCGTGGACAGTATTGTTAAAATGTATTTGTGCACCTCCTCCAAAAAAATGATTATTTCGGTCATAGTATAAATATGTCTCAGCATACTATAGACTTTGAAATCAATGTATAGTCTAATTCAGTGCCTTTCAAGACATTTTAAAATAATATATTTGCTTAAATCAAGATCACACTCAAATTTATTCATGGTCATTAGTCGATATCTTTCTTTTTGTTGTAGTGAAAATACTTTTATTGAGGGCTCTTACATCTCTTATCACAATCCATACATTCCTCCTGTGTGTCAAGCACATTTGCACATATGCCACATTTTCAAAGCATTCTCTTCCCACTTGAGCCCCTGATATCCGCTCCCCCATTTCTTCCCCCTCCCTCCCGTACCCACCCTCTCTTACTAACCCTTAATAAGTTATAGATTATTTTTTCCATATCTTACATTGTCCTCCGTTGCCCTTCACTCTCTTTTCCATGATTTGTCCCCCTGGGAGGGGGTTCTAGGTTTATCCTTGTGATGATCAGTTCTCCCTTTCTCCCCCCACCCTCCCCTAATCCTCTTGGTATCTCTACTCTCCTTGTTGACCCTGAGAGGTTTATTGTCCTGGATTCCCAGTGTTGTGGGCTCTTGTCTGTAGCAGCGTGCATGCTCTGGTCTAATCCGATTTGTAAGGTAGAATTGAGGTCACGATAGTGGGGGGGGAGGCAGAACCAAAGAACTAGAGGGAAGTTGTATGTTTCGTCGGTGCTACACTGCATCCTGACTGCCTCATCTCTTCCTTGTGACCCCTCTGTGAGGGGATGTCCAATTATCTACAGATGGGCATTGAGTCTCCACTCCATGGCCACCCCCCACCTCCCCGCCACCCACCGTTCACCTTGGGTATGTTTTTATTCTGGGTCTTAGATGCCTGATACCTGATCCTATTGACACCTCATGATCACACAGGCTGGTGTGCTTCTTCCATGTGGGCTTTGTTGATTCTGGCTAGATGGCCACTTGTTTATCTTCAAGCCTTTAAGACCCCAGATGCTGTATCTTTTGATAACCGGTCACCATCAGCTTTCTTCACCACATTTGCTTATGCGCCCATTTTGTCTTTAGTGATCACATCAGGAAGGTGAGCATCAAAGAATGTCAGATTGTTAGAACAAAGTGTTCTTGTGTTAAGGGAGTACTTGAGTCAAGATCCAATGTCCATCTGCAACCTTAATTCTTAACATATAGATATGAGTACATAGTTCTATTCCCCTCTCATTATATATATATTTACATATGTACACGCCTGTATTTAGGCCTCTACAAATGTCATTTGTCTCCTGGTTCTTTCCTCTATTTCCTTTTAACTTCCCTCTTGTCCCACCATCATGTTCGGGCTTTATTTGGGTTAAGGAATTCCTCACTGCTACATTCCCCTCAATTGAGCCCCACTAGGCATTCTACGACCTTCCTTCCATTGATTTTAGTTCACTTGTTGTTCCCTTGTCCCTGGGTTGGTCCTCCCTCCCCTTCCTTTCTCCCATATCCCTCCAGAACCATTGGTCTTGTTCTTTTCATCTCCAAATTATTTATCCCGCCCATGTTATCTAGACAGACATGTGGATACAGTGATGGGGCCAGACCGTGCACTATTCCCCACATGGTATCTCCAGTCCTGTCCCCTGCAGCATCATGGTTCGGTGAGGGACACTGTGTACCGTGGTGGGGCCAGCCCTACAGTCCTCCCATGTGTTGTCTGCTGCGAGCAGGAACATCGTCCTTGGGGCTTGGTGGGCCAGGATGTCCTCTCCTCCCTCTCCATCTCTTTGTGTTTCTCCTGTGTGTTCTAATCCGACACACACCTCTCCCCAAGCTGTAACCCCAGTGCTGTCCTCTGACGTGCATTCTTCTGAGGGTAGGAAGGGGTATCCACATAGTGGGGATTAAGGCCAGCCCTGCAGACCTCCCTATTGGTCCCCTGGTACATGCTGGCATGTTGTATTCACATCTTGGCACATCGGTGAAGCCTGGTCTCTCTCTCCCACTCCTATGGAGATATAAGTAATACCCTCCCCTTGGGTGGGTTAGTGCCCTGCTCCCATGGCTTTTTTTTCTTCTTTCTTTCCCCTTTTTATTTAGTTGGCTGCCGTATGTATCCCTGGATTGGTAGTTGATATCTTTCTTTTCTTTTTTTTTAGGGCTTTATGTCGTATTTATTATTCTCTCTTCAACTTACAATCACAACATTATCATTAGGAGTTTGAATGCTATAATCCAGTTGGATCCTGCTTGTATACAAAGTTATCAATTATTTGGGGAGGCAACATTTTTTTTTTCTGTAGAAATCTTTTTTTTTAATTTAATTATTTTACTGGGGGCTCAGACCATTCTCATCACAGTCCATACATACATCCATTGTGTCAAGCACATATGCACATTTGTTGCCCTCATCATTCTCAAAACATTTGCCTCCCACTCTGGCCCCTAATATCAGTTGCACATTTTCCCCCTCCCTCCCCTCCCCCCTCCCTCAAGAACCCTTCGTAGTTCATAAATTATTATAGTTTTGTCATAAGTTACTGTTGATATCTTTCTTAAGCCTTTTTTAATCTCCAAGATTCCTCTTGCCTCCTTTTTATTTTTGATTTCTCCTGGCATTTATTTCATAGTGTTTCCATTGTCTGGATTTTATGAATTTCAACTATGTGCTTCTTGAGTTGTTTTTATATATCTGCTTGATTTGAAGATTCCTATTTTTTATTTTTAATTCTGGAACATTCTCCACCAAAGAGTACTTAATGGCTTACTCTCATTCCTACTATTCTGTCCTTTGGGGGATCCTGTTAGATGTATGTATATTGGAGCTTATTTCTGTTTTCCAAGTCTCTTAAATTCTCTTTCCTATTTTCAGTTTTTTTTCCCCATGAATTCTTCAGATCTGTATTTTAAATGATTAGGTTTTGTTTTGGGGTTTTAAAAATTCTCTGCTGAGTTTTAAATATTAATATTTATATATTTCTAAAATGTTATTTGTATCTTTTTGAAGGTAATTTGCTCCTTAAAAATTTATTTATTTATTTATTGCTGCTTTTTACTCATAAGCCTTTTAATTAAGGAACTCTATTGGCACAGTGAGTTAAGTATTGGGCTTCTGTCTGGAAGGTCAATAGTTCAAAGCCACCAATTGTTCTGTGGGAGAAAAGTGAGGCTATATGCTCCCCAAAGGATTTGCAGTCTCAGAAGCCCTTTGGGGCAGCACTACGCTGTCCTGTAATATCATCCTGATTTGGAATCCTCTTGATGACAGTAGGTGGGCCTTTTAATTATTTACTAAACATGATAGATATTTTCTTAAACTCTCAAAGATTTGTCTTCTTTTTGACTCAATTGGCTACTCAGAGTTCCCCTGGTTACTGAGTCTGGGGCCTCTGTCTCACAGACGGTAAGTCCTACGACTCGCTGTGTAATTTTAGCCGTGAACGTCTCCTTAGCTGGAATCATCTTCTACTATTTGATTCTGCCCGAGTGTTTTCATCTTTGCCTTGGTCAGGGCACTCTATTATTCACTGATTCTGGACATGAAAAAAAATAAATTCTCACCTTTATTTTGAGTCTTATATGTACAGTATTACAGGTGGTACCTGAGTTTACCTTTGCTCTTTATATGTGGGATAACTTTGCATTGCTCCAAGAAGCCCGTTCCAACCCCTCATTGCCCAAGATTACTGGATAATCACTCCCAAAAGGGTTTCCAAAGGGTTGTGTCCATTGACAGCAACGCAGAAGAGGGCCGGTCCCATCACCCTCTCTGTGGCACTGGACATTAGGAAGACAACGATCCTTCAGTAAATCCGATCTGTAGAAAAGATTCCGTGTTGTACAACTGCTTAGCCAGGCAAAACAATTGTTTGCTTTTATTCAGTGCTTGTATTTTTTTCTCTCTGTAGATTTTGAAAGACCATGGAGAGGATTTTCTTGTTGGCAACAAATTCAGCTGGGCGGACATACAACTGATAGAAGCTATTTTAATGGTGGAAGAACTCCGTGCTTCTGTCCTTTCTGACTTCCCTCTGCTAAAGGTAGTGTATTGGTGGCCACCGAGAACAAAGCAGGAAAGAAATGAGCAGAGTAAAGAGTGAGATCAAAAGTATGTCTGCATGTATGTCCACCTCAAAAGACACCGAAGAAGACTATTTAAAACATCACTCAGAGTTTTGTTTTGACTGTTTTCTCTTTGATTGATCTGCTCAGACCAATCTGTTGGGACAGAAAACCATGGGAAGGGAGAAAAAATATATACCATATATACTCGAGACTAAGTCGATGCAAATATCAGCCACACACCTAATTTTACCACAAAACTGCATTTAAAATGTGCTGAAAAACTCGGCTTATACTCGAGTCTATAGGTATAATTTCTTTGATTTCTGGCGTAAACGTTTAGTGTTTGCCTTGCATACTGGGCGGTGAACCGCAAGGTCAGTGGTTGGAATCCACAAGGTGCTCGGCCCAAGAAAGATGCAATTTTCTGCTCTTGTAAAGATGTTCAGTCTGGGATTATTTGTTCAACATAAAGATCAAATATGCATGGTAAGAGGATATCACCCTGACGGACATGACTTTAAACCATGCACTATCCCCTTGTTCTGTTGGAACGACTGCCTCTTGGTCCATGCACAGAATCTGAAATAACACAATGAATTTTTCTGGAATTCCCATTCTTCACAATGTTATCCATAGTTTGTCGTGCCATTCACCATTGAATGGATGCCTTTGCATAGTCACTGAAACACAAGTAAGCATTCTTCCAGTATTCTCTGCTTTCAGCCAAAGTTCATCTGACATCAGCAAGGCTATCTCTTGTCCCGGGCCTCTTCTGAATCTGGCTTGAAATCCTGGCACTTCAGTGTCAACAGAGTGCTACAACTGTTGTTGAATTATCTTCAGCAAAATTTCACTTGCGTGTGATAGTAGTGGTATTGTTCAATAATTTCTGTACGCTTTGGGGTCACCTTTCCTTAGAATTGCCATGAATGCGGGTTTATTTCTGTTGGTTGGCCAGCTAGCCATCTTCCCAGTTTCTTGGCATAGACTAGTGTGTGTTTCCAGCTCTGCATCTGTTTTAAAAAATTCCAAATAGTATCCCATTAATGCTGGGAACCTTGTTTTTCCTAATGGCTTCAGTGCAGATTGTCTTTCTTCCCTCAGTACTCTTGATCATGGGCTACCTCTTGAAACAATTGAACATCAATCAATTCTTTTTGGTACAGTGACTCTGTATTCCTTCGATCTTTCTCTGACACTTCATGTATCTTTCCCTATTGTGCCCATAGAATTCTTCAGTGTTACAATCTGAGGCATGAATATTTTCTGCAGCAGTTTCAGGTTGAGGGGTGCTGAGCACATTCTTTCCCTTTGGGTTTCTAACTCTAGGAATTTGAACAGCTCATGATAATACGGTACTCTCCTCTTTCCAAGCTGCCTTGAAGAATTTTCTATTCAGCTCTTTTTATTTGATCATTTCTTCTACACATTCAAGAGCAAGTTTCAGAATCTCTTCAGACTGGTCTTTCTACCTTTCCTATTCTTTAATAACTGTTTGTTTTCTTCCTGCCTAATGTTCTTGATATCATTCCTCAACTCATTTGGTCTCATTAGTATTCAAGGCATCAAATCTGTTCTTGAGATAGGCTCTTAATTTAGGTGGAATAAACGCAAGGTGGCATTTTGGCTCTTATGGACTTGTTTTAATTTTTTTTCACCTCAACTTGAATTTGCATATGAGCAATTGATGGTCTGTCTCACAGTTGGCTTTGGCCTTGTTTTGGCTAATGATATTGAGATTCTCCATTGTCTCTTCCCACAAAGGTAGCCTAATTGATTCTTTGCATACTCCATCAGACAAGGCCCACATGTATAGGAGCTCTTTAAGTTGCTGAAAAAGGTATTTGCAACGATGGTGGCAGTATTCTTGTAAAATCCTAGCATGCGAACTCCAGGTTTGTCTCTATCACCAGCACCCTCTTTTTGAACTATTAATCCTTTCTCTTTGTTCCCAGCGATCACAATCGATCTCCAGTAATTACAATTACCAATGAATCTTGAATGCATGTGTGATCAATTTAAGACTGAGGAAATTTGTAGAATTCTTGATCGCTGCCTTTAGTGATTGGTGCCTAAAGTTGAAAAATCATTGGATTAACTGGCCTTCCTTGTAGGTGAATAGATACTATTCTACCATAGACAACATTGTCCTTCAAGATAGATCTGGATAATGATGGCCGTCCTCTGAACAACCTCACTCAAAACCTCATGCCGTTGATTCAATTTCACATCATAGCAACACTACAGAACAGGATGGAACTGACCCGGACTGTAACTCCTTGAGGGAGTAGTACACCTCATCTTTATCCCAAGGTGCAGCTGGTGGATTTGAACTGCTGACCTTGCAGTTAGCAGCCCCAGGCATAAGTCACTGTACTGTCAGGCCTGTTGCCTCTATTCTTTTGAAGCTCTCAGTGTCTTCCCTTACCTTGCTCATATTGTATGGATTTCCCTATATTCTCTTCACCATAATTAACATTTGGTGCTTGAAATCCGCCAGCTGTTCCTGGGGCGAAAGATGAAATGGTTTGCTCCTGTAGAGATGTACTGCCCCAGAAATCCCACAGAGCACTGCTGCTCTGCCTATCGGCTTATTCTGAGTTAGAATCAAACTGACCACCATGGAAGTAGAGTTCTACCCAGTCAGTGATGGTCCTTCTTCCCACCTCCATGTCTGGCAACCGTCACAGAATGTTTCTTCCTGTGTGCGAACACATTCTTGACACGCTACAAGAGTAGTCTCACATAATAGTTACCCTTTGGAGATGGACTGGTTTCACTCAGCATGAAGCCCTCTACATGCATGAATCTGGTGAGATAGCTCGTGGATTAACCCTTCCACCCCTTATTTTTGTCATCGCATAATGTCCCACTGTATGCATTTCCCGCAGTTTGTTTCTTTGCATGGACTTTGGGTTGTTATATATAGTATTTTAAATTGTGGAATTATGTTTCCTGTAGGGATTACCAGCATTTACATAGCCAGGCTCCGTTTTCCTAGAATGATAGGTTCTTTCCAGTGTCTACTCTTGTACCAACACCACACTATGGCTTTGTTTGCACTCATTCCCATACAGTAAATCTCTAGAACAGGAATTGACAGGTCAAAGAATGTGAATATTTTAAGACTTCTGACAAACAGGGCCTGCTTGTGGCAATGACTTTTAACAACATAAACCCATGCAAATTCCCCCAGCCATGTTAGTCCCCTTCCCAGAGACTCTGGGGCAAACATATTTTGCAGGTTAAGTTAGTCTACGTACTGCTCTGAGCGCCCCCTTCTGGTGACTCTGATTCTTCTTAGGGTTTGTGGTTGGTAACTGAACCTGATTTTACTGTCTCTCTCAGGCATTTAAAACGAGGATCAGCAACATTCCTACAATTAAGAAGTTCCTGCAGCCGGGGAGTCAGAGGAAGCCGGCCCCCGATCAGCATTATGTTGACACTGTCAAGCACATCTTGCAGTTCTGAAGGCCAGCAGGCCTGAGAGTGGCGGGCCAGTCACCCCACCAGTACAATGCCCAAGTACACAGTAGATTCTAGACATGGGAACCAGACTACCCCCACCCCCCCAACAGCTCAAGCCCATTGCTGTTGAGTGCATTCGGACCTATAGCAACCCTAGAACTCTCTAAAGTACAACTGCCCCTTAGGGTCTCCAAGACTAGGATGGCCACGGGGGCAGATGGTCACATCTTGGTCCTGGGGCCACTTGTGGGTTCGAACCAAGGATCTTTCAATTCGCAGCCAATGCTTACCCACCGCACCACCAAGGCTCCGTGCGCTAACCACAAACATCTAGTAAATGCTCTGTCAAACGATTTTTGATGTGTGCAGCTTTTCTTTCTTGTTCTTATTTTGGAATTGGTTGGTTTGGGATGCTGGGATGTTGGTTTGGGATGCTGAATGGAAATAAAGAGGAGGCAGGTATATCTTGGACAGGGACCTTCATGGGCCCATATGCTTACTTTCTGCAGCAGCAGCAGGACATTTGGGAGAAGAGTGACCAGAGATTTGGGGAGCAGGATCTCTCCAGCAGCCAGCACGGCTGCGGAGTACTTTAAAAAGTAGCAAGTGATCAACTGGAAGTATGTGGATGAAAGATGCCAGGGAATTCTAGAGGTGAGGTGGGTGGGGGTAGGGAATATTCAGGGAGCACCACTTAGAAAACCTGAATCCACTTGGTCAATTAGGTGGTCCACTACCACCTAGCACACACCCTCTCGTACTGGGTCTTGCTTTGGTGAAACAATTCCAAGTAACGCCAAGAAGACTGGAGATATAACCAATTGACACATCTGCATAGAAACTGATCGGAGATCCTCCAGCCTTGCTATACTTCTTTAGGGACAATTATGTTTGATATATTTCATTTAGGGATCATTCCTGCGTTCCTGGGTGATGGAATTAGGAACTTAGCACTATGTTGGGGATCGGTTTAATGAGGAGTTGGCATGACTTAGTGCTGGCAAGTCTATTGAGGGTGGTGTCTATTCGGGGCCATGCAGGGTGAGGTGCCCAGTGAGCTCTGGTCTACAGCAGGACTCTTGCCAATGACTTGCGGTATGATACTGTGCTACCAGACCCAAACCTTTGCTGGCGTGTCCCATCCCAAACTACCCAA